TCACAAAAGAATTAAATGAAAAAGTTACTATTAAAAGCATAATAGAAACAAATTAAGAGAATAGAAACATTCTTCAATTTACAAATAAATGCAAATTTCCCATATACAAATGGTAATTACGTCTCAATTATTTTATACAAAATACGCTTTAATTCGTTCAGTTGACAAGATAAATTAAATCACCATTTGAATTTAATTATACTTCCCAATATGCCTTTTTTCTACCTAGATATACCTGCGTTTAAGCATACCAAAATAGTTCAAATAAACCGCAAAGATTTCAAAAACTTAAAAACGATGTTTAAATCCATCCCAATTCCAAATCAGAAAACCGACACGCACATGTGCAACAGCGTGCCCAGGGAGAAACTGAGAAGGCTTAAATAAAGAAATGGAATTACACGGTGGGAATCCATTACGCGACAGACAACACTTGAAATCGATAATTCACTGAATGGTTGCCAGGTAAGGTCTCCCGCAGAAGGTAACAGCGTAAATCAATTGGCCACATCTCCGAGCGTCCCTTACGTGTATTTACGTAACAGGTGGTGGTATCGAAAACCACGGAGATTATAGAGCATAGGTGGCGAGATCATGGACAAAGCCTTACACCGTTCCTTTCACGCGTATCCTCGGTTAATCTAGACGATCTTCCTCCGAGAAAAAAGACTGGTTTTCTGTCCTTGCGTTGAATTGCTCAGCTTCGCCTCTTTCCTGTTGCGCGGAGCTACTTCTTTATAGTGCCCGTGTGCCGAGCAAATGAGAGTCAATTATGGCGCACAGCGTTTTGTAAAGAGACCTTATACAGGTTTTAATATTTTCAAACGATGCACATAGAAACCGTACACCCTTTTAATATTTACTAAAAATTATAAATGAGTTTTTGCGTTCGTAATCCGTCACAGATAAAAATCTACATTTTTACACCGCGAGGATATTTCTATCGCAAACACCGTTTGCAAAAACTAATCCCAAGCAAATCGCAGTATCTCCAACATTCTCGACCATTATATAATTAAGTTTTATAAGATGCTATCGAAAATATACAATCTTAAGCAGTAATAATAACGAGCCAACAAAAGTTTCACATTAAACTACCAAACATACACTAAAACACTTACTACTCTTACATAAATAACCCTCAACGAAGAACTCTTTCTTCCCAACATAGGAAATATAAAAAATAAATGATAATCGAACCAAGTAACGCGCGTGCAAACTCAAAGAAGAACTACAACAGCCATTAGGCAACTTGGACCGTCGCGAGATCCGCATGAAGAATTCAAATATCGTCCAAGAATTTCCTTCCGTGGAAAAAGGAAAACCGCTCGGAAATGGATTCACGATCGATCGTTCTCCCACGACGAGGTGCGTGACACACGGCCAGGTTTTCGCGTCGCGAGGCCTGCACCGTCGACCGTTTCCACGAATGACTCACGGCCGAGACGTCCATTTTGTCGGCGAGCGGTGGGGTAGTTTTCGCGCTTCATTGAAAGTAGCCGGGGGACGGGGACAGGGAATCGTCGGAGCGCACTCTCCGCGAAAGAACGAAATGATATTCAGCACGGTGGCGCGCGCCGGCCGAGATTTATTCAAATTTTCCTGACTAGACGAACCTTTTCGTCGGGCTCTATCTCTCTCTCTCTCTCTCTCTCTCTCTCTCGTCCCCCGTTTCATTCGTTGATCCCCGAGCCTCTTATTTCCTCAGTCTCCTTTTCCCCGGCGTGGAACGCGGCGAGAAAGTATGCCGGGCGAACACAAAGGACTTGTTCACGTACGGAGGGCGAGAAAAAGGCTGAACCTGCCACGGGAAAGCTGGAGAAGAGTCAGCCGCGGCAGATAAGGGCGGCCGTAAAGGAGATAAAGATTGTTTGTTTGGTCCGGCCGACGGACAGCCTCCGTGGGACACCGTTCGACCCCCATTTTTATTCTTCTCTTCCCTCCTTTTTCTTCGTTTTTGGCTACCGTGCGCGCGGAACTTCTATTTTCTCTGACGTTGATCTTCCACCTTCTTTCTTTGCTTCGAACTTTGAACATTGATTTTGGGACAGTTTTTCTTGAAGGGTTTCTTTTACACTTTTCTTAGGCCGTTTTTTTGTGGAATCCGTAGCGTGGAAAGGATGTTGTCTTTCTTTGTAACTTTTTATTATTATTTTTGGGTTTGTAAGAGTTATGGAAGAGTTCAGCGTTTTTATTTAAACAGAGTTCAATGGGAAGTATTTTTTGATAGATAGATTGTGAGAGAATTGTAAGAGAAATTTCGTTAGACGATTAAGGATTTCATTGTGGACAAGATGGAAAAAGCTCGTTGAATTTTAGACATTTTTGTAATGCATTGAACTTTTGTATTTAATAACAACTAAACGTTTTTATATTGTCACCACTGTTGCAACACTGTCAGTAAGCAAACTACTGCATGAGTTGGTGATTCTAGCTTTCCAGCGTCACGAGGAATACCTTACAGCACAAAGAAAGCCTTCTCTTATCTCGCAGTAATAGTTTTCGCAAAAACTATTCGAGTCATAGTCCCTCCACTTTTACACGCGCCTTATCGCGAAATTACACCTATCTCGAAGTATTCTTGGCTTCGTTGGAATCGTCTAATAAGTTAATCTCGGTTCCACATTTTCAGATAAGATTGCGCTAATGGATGCATCCGCCTGTGAAACGGCGAAGCCCGACAGATACCGAAATCTGAATCCTCGTTTAGAAAGAAATTCGTCACGTTTCCGTTCAATTATACAATTTAATCGTGCGTTTATCTTATCTCCGTCCCGGCGATAGCGTTATCGTTTATTCTCGAAAGGTCCGAAAATTCCGATTTGAAAAACTCGAAAGATACTGGTCTTATGATGAGTCTATTCGTGCTCGGAGGAAATTCTTTCCGCGAACGGAGAATCAACCGGGATACAACCAAAGGCGAGCTTTTTCCGTTCATCGCATCACATTGATCTTCCGCCGGTCGAAAAAAAGGAGTCATCAGGCGACGTTAAAAAGGTGGCCCGACAATTAGCCATAATTAAGATCGACAACGCCGTGAGTTGCCTTCTGAACCCCTTAATCGATTCCCAAGAAAAAAAAGAACCTCGCTGCTAAAAATATCTATAGTTTGACGTAACCGAGATCTCGTCGAAAACCAAAATACAAGCATTATAAAATCGAAAAATGGTTTCCAGTTTCTCGCTTGTGGGCTGTAAACTTTAATTACCGTATCGCTGGTAAGTATCTTCCAGATTAAATTAATAGGTATGAGATATTCGTTGACCATTGCCCTTTGCATAATACCTCCTATTTCATATCTTCCCTTCATTCTTCTTCTTCCATTTCTACAACCTTCAAATTTCCTAGTGAATGGTCAAGAAATATCAACGAATATTCAATGAACAAGAATATCTTTAAAAACCAGTTAACTCGCTTTCAACGCGTCTACGCCCACAATTCAGAGGCCACCTAAAACACTGCGGTAAACGTGTCGACGACGAATTAACCGAATCCACGAGAGAGAATGAAGTCCATGGGAAATGTTCGTAGGACCTTGTTCAGAGATAGCCGGGGCGCGCAGGATCGGGCGTGGAGCCGAGGCGGAAAGCATTCAAATCCGAGCGTAACGAGACACGCACGTACACGGACGTGCAACGCGACAGTAGGAGAGAGCTCCGTGCGCGTGCTGCGCTGCGCCGGTTCGAAAGTTTACTTTATATTCAGCCGTATGTAAATGAGAAACGATCATTCAGCGACGCAAGCGCGAGCGCGGTAGCGGAGCGGTCCGGTTCACGAACCGATCGTGGGCGCACGTGTAAAACCGGGCAAGAAAGCACGCGCCCCGTTCTCGTGTTTCTTTCCCGCGAAGAGGAGGGGGTTCCTTAAGCCCCTATGCGCCGCTGTCACGCGATAAGAACCTCGAGACGGCGGTTTACCGATTACCCGGCGCTGGTAAAGCAAACGTACGCTCCCGAATGCAAATCGACACCGATGGACGGAACGAAGGACCGTTATCGTACACCTTCCTCTCTAGACTGCCTCCCCTTCTCTTTTTATTTCTCTATTCCGCTCTGCTTCCACCCCGGTAAAGAGGAAAATCCATTCGCGACCTGGCGCACACCCGATTCACACGCTTCGAACTCTCCTCTCGCTTTTCCGAGACTTTCTTCGCCGCCGCTTTTATTATTGAATCCGCCCTCTGAACCACCGATTTGCACCGACAAATCGAGCCCCGGTATACCCCGAGGCGAGAGGCTCGGATACACAGCCTGAATCAACGGAGATCAGACCATAACAGGTTTTTTTCCGTTGAACATTCTACGACGACGGAGGATCAGTGTGTTTGATGTTTTTAGAATTCTGTTGATGCGAATATGTGGGTGTAATTAATATTTATGGAAGTGTAATATGTATAGAAGTTGGAGAATCTAAAATATTGTAATAACTTGACGCGAATTGAAAGAAAATTGTGAGTGCGCAAATTCATTGCGACAAACATGAGGCTATAAACTACAATTCGCAACATAGGAAAGACTGTTATAATTTATTACAATTCAAACTGTTATGAATACAGTAAACCCGATAATCGATATTTGAAAGAAACGCGTAAATATTGTCCGGTGTATGCTGCCTGCGCCCCGTGCACGCATTTTATAGATCTATTCTTTTAAAACACTACTGATCGCGATTACTGATAAGCACAACGAGGCTATAAATGTCTTATTACAACCACACATTTCTCATTCCCAAACGAGGCAATTACTATTCATAGAGAACAGCCAACAGAAACAATCTGCGATCGTTCAAACGTTAACCGACAAAAGAACTGAGAAGTAAATGCGCGTTGCCGTTCGAAAAGTACTTTCCACCGAGCGCGCATTGCTACCGGAACCACACGGCACGAACAATGCGCAACTGTGGCCGTTCATGGTACCAAAAACAACGGTAACTTCCTTGCGAACGAAGACAATAGAACGAAAAAATAGAAAAACGAGAAAGGAAGCCTGAACATCGCTTACCGTTGAGATGCACTTGTGACTCGGCGACACGTAGTCCAGTCCCCGGTGTCCCAAACCGCTGAAGCACTTCTGTATATTGGTCATGAACTTCCTCCTGATAGCCTTTAACGAGTACACACACAGCGCGGAAAGCGGCAGAGGAATATCGTTGCTCGGCAATTCGCTCTGCGAGAACACCGCGAACAGAACGTCCTCCTGCGCGGTGATCCCCAGGTTCTCGGCCAGGACCGAGCCGGCCTTGCCGACGTATGCCGCTTGGACCAGGTTGTAATTGATCCCCTCGTTGGTGCAGTTGATCGGTATCTCGGTGAACGAGTAGTAATGCTGATCGTCCTGGCACACCCGCACCAGCTTCGACATATAGATCGCGGTCTCGGTGTTCTTCATCTGCGTGGTCATGAAGTAACTAAACCCGCCGCTGCTGAACCCGTACACGTAGTTGATCCGATACCTCTCCCGGGACAGAGAGTTCACATACATCCTGGTGCCGGTAGTGACCGCGGCCTCCGCGATGTTCAGCATCCTATCTTTATCCAACGATCTGGAGCTGACCGCTGGCACTTCGGACCGATACGGCGAGTTGCCGGTGTAGGTCGCACCCACATACATCACCTGGGTGACAGGCGGATTCGGCGGCCCAGGCGCGATGAACGCCACCGTCGAAGCGGTCGCGTTGTTCGCGACCACTGCCTCCTTCACCTCTTGAAGGATGTCCGAGATGTTGTGGAGATTCCTAACGCGGCAGGTGCCTTGTGACACTATGCCGCAAGAGATCAGCCGGCTGGTCGTGTAGTCGATCACCAACGCCTTGTTCACGTTGTCGACCGGCCGGGTTGGCGTCTCCTGGGGACAGTTGATCATCGAACAAGCGGTCGAGTCGCCCTTCGGCCCGGTCACTTCTTTCACCACCAGACCCAAGTCCGGCGAAAGCTGATAGAGCCGGTTCACCGCGCCCACGTATAGCCGACCGGTGTTCTTGTCCACCACCAGATGGTTCATATGCTTCACCTCCGGGTCGTGGAACTTTTGTACTATGTCGGAGGAGGTTGATAGGACCGGGAGCCGGGGGGACAACAGCACCAGAATCGACAGGACCAGACGGAGCTGGCGTTCGTGCGACACCATCGACGATCTCGTCCTGGCCGACGACGCCTCGACGCCCGGGAAGACTAGCATCTTTCTACTCTACTTCCTACGCTACGGGACGACCACGGTGTATCTCGCCGCTTCCTCCTTCCCTGTCGCGCGGGGGATCTTCGCGGAGGCGTCTTCCTCGAGCCTCGCCCAGACCTGTAACAGAGAAACGCAAGGTTTAGATCGTGCATTTTCGTAGAGTAACGGTATTTTCGTTCTGTTTCATTTGCCGTCCACGCTACAAGCGATTTAATGCTGAGACATGTTTACCATTGAAGGAGATACACTGAAAATCTCTTACAGCTGGATAATTTCGCGCGGTGAACATGTTTCAGGATTAAATTATGAATATGCACGACGCATAGAATTAGGAGTCTGTGTATTAGATTATGTATTCATTGCATTTGCAGAAGTGTTTTTGAGGTAAAAATTTCAAATAAAATTTAACGAACAAATATTATTCAATTTATTTAAATGCAAAATACATATTATTCCTCTGCTATCAATGATTATACCTTGAATCATACGTTGACATAAAATAAGACTGGAATTTTTTCTTATTCTCAATAAATTATTAATGACAAAGTAGTCAGAACGATCTTAATTCAGAAAGAAATCGTAAGGCAAGTGGTTAATTAGATTCTTATTTTAAAGTAGATCGTAAATTTTTAAGTAAATTCTCATTTCATCGAAGCAGTTGTTTTATAAAACATAACTCCCTGAATATAAAATTAAGGTGGAAACATCACGCGCTTCGGTTAAGCATTAACGTTTCGTCGTATATGATTCATTCAGTAAATTCTGTGAATGAAAGAAATCTATGAAATTAACTGTATTCCATAATGAAAAGAAAAGTATTGTTTCGGAAAATGAAAGAAGAACAAATTAAAGTCGAAATTTATCAAACAACCTATGTACTGTTTACATTCGATTCTCCACGGAGAATTATAGCGCGGAACGATCGAGCATTTCTTCGGCTCGCACGTATGGAAGATAAAAGAAAGTACGCGCAAGAACGTACGGAACTATGGAGCATTAATTAGCACGTTATGTTTAGGAATTTCATTTTCATCGTGATCGTTTGTATGCATTCACCTACACGGAACAGTGATTCCTATATAACAGAAGCCGTTCCCTAAACAAAAAGAAAGGAACCTTTACACGCGCCCCTGATTTTCCTTAGAGCCCGTCTGCTGCACTTCAGAATTTTATGAAGTAATAAAACGAAGCGTGAAACGTTTGTCTGTTGCTTCATTCTGCGTTCCACGGCAGCGAAAGAACTGGAGGGAAAGAGTGCCTCGCACGGGTTTACGAAGTATGAAGCATAAAGTGTTAATTTCACGCATTCCTTCTCATTATCATATACGCACGAACTTACGAACTATGCCATATTACGACCTGAATAAGTTTCTCAACTAGAGGAGAATGCGCCACGAACATTTATAAACATCTACTAATTTTCTTATCAATTCTTATCTTATACCTCCTATTTATTGTATCATTCAGAGCAATTTCCTGATTGCTAAAACATACATCGGTCAAAACACTAAACTGTTCATCAAAGCAAAATTCCTGTATTTCGATGGCTCGTAAATCATTATCGCACGTTGTACGATGTGGTCGAGGATAGATCAGCTTCAAGTTAACACGAACAGTAGCGATGCTTTCACGAACAAAGACAATTTTTAGCGTTACTGTGCAGGTGTTCAACGTTAATGGCGAGTCAGTGGCAGGCCAACGACACTCTGCACACGAAACACCGCCTGCCACAGAATAATTGCTCCGATTATCGTTTCAAACCCAAGGCAAATCGAACGATCGCACACGCGAAGACTTAGCGTGAATTCGAAATAAGTACGTAAATGGGTTAACCGTGAACTCATATTCCCCGAGGAATGTAATATACCCGCTCGTTAAACATCTTTCCAGAGCGTTATCGGATTCCATCGGAGCGATCGCAGCGTTTTCTTTCGAAAAGATAAAATAATTATGACTAGCATTAGAGGGTCTATTTAACGTGGCTACCAGTGATTCGAGACGGTTATCAGACGAACAAGTTTAATTACCAGATGAAATCATAAATTCCTGCGATTTTTCTTGCGCGTATCGAGAGATTCTTACCGCGATCTATAATAATTAGATACACCGCGGACTTCGTGCAGTTATGCTGTTTACAACTGTGAAAAACACGTCGGGGGGAAAATCTTGATGGAGTTTCAGCGGTGCTCCTTTTTTCCGTTACATTTGAAACGATGGCGAGTCCTTCCATAAGGAAGGGAAACTTCTGCACAATTACCGTGGCCGTAAATTATTCCATAAAAGTGTGAAGTTGGGTAAAGTTTCATAATCCAAGGGTAACGTAATAATTGTAATTATACACCGTGAATACTCAACGTAAATTTTCATCTTCCTTAAAACATCCCCTTTACGAGTTAAAATCGCGTCTCGAGTCGAAAATAAAGTAAAAGCGTTACCAGCTTCGGGTAAACGTTAATATTCCATGAATGCGTAAAATTTGTAGTCCTATTATGATAAATACCACTACGGCTTTTACTAAATTCGAACACCGCAAATAGAACATGTAAGAACCACAAAACCCAACACGTTCAGCGCCCAGTTTTCTACATACAATCCAGTATTCCAAACGTGAAATTCCGCTACCTCATAACATTCACTATCTCTTTACAAACGAAACTGCCACAACTTCCAATCAAGAACGAAATTCCAACCACGTAACGGTAAACAAAATAAACAAAATTCCCAAGTCTCTACACAGAAGGGACAAATGCTCCAGAAAATTGCGTTCCAGCTTTTCAAAAGGAACTTTCCAGGCCAACAAAGAATCTCTGCAAACACGGAGCCGCAGCGATCGATGTATCGAGAAAAGTAAATACTTTTAATACTTTCCTGCGGAGCGTATTTCAATCACTTCCAACCGTGGGAGGGGAATAAAAGTATTTCGACGAAGAAGAATGGCGGAACAGGAAACGGGACGCGGAGTCTGTCGGTGCACGCGCCAGAAGGGACATTACCCGTCATAATTGCTCCGCCGCGATCGGAAATGCCTCGTGGTCGGACAGGTCGCGCAGGACTTCATAAAAGTCAATGAACGGGAAAGAAAAGCATGGAAGTGAGAACGAAGGGGAGGTGCCTGACAATTTATCGACTACGGGAACCAGGTGCCTTTGAATCGGCCCCTAACGCCCATACTCCTCTTAACGAAATGAAACGGCCAACTTTTACTCGGAAATGCGCGCGCGCGCGCCCGCTTCCGCGTGTGCGTGCATGGCAGATAACTAGGAGGAGAGGGAGCGAAAAAAATCTGAAACCGAAAGGGACGGAGAGGCAGACGCAGGGACCGAAGAAAACGTATTCTTCGTTTCTTATCGCGACGGAGGGTAACGCATTCGATCGCAACAAGAAAAAGACCTTTCCTTATTTTCCGACGCTCATCTTGGGGCACGTTGAGCTGAAGGCAGCCCCGACAGACGTCAATTTCAGTGTGTGCGAGGAGGAACGGTGGAAATGGGAACTCTGTAATTTCAAATACTCCCCTCGTTCCCTCTCTCCCACTCTCTCCGGCTGTCGTAATTATTAAATATACGGGGTGTAATGGAAATAAGAATATATAGGGGTCCGTAGAGTAGGTATTTTATTTAACCCCTTGCCTTATGACTTTCTCCCTGGTTAGGAAATCGTGAATAATAAAGTGATTTCTGTGAGAATCACGCGTATTGGAAGAAATTATGTGTTCTGTTTTCATTTAATCGATATAGTGCGAATGATGATCGTGTTTAATTAATTTTTTGAGAAACTCTTGATGCTTTCACGCAAAGTGTTTTGGGGTGGATTATTTTAATAAACAGCTGATTGTTTAATCCTTATTACTTTGACAAGCAGTAGTAATCAAACCATAAGGATTAATACGCAAAACGTACAAATGTACGTCACAAAACCTACTATATTCAAAACAAAATCAAACATAAATATTAATTCAGTGCTCAATTTTTCTACACATTACAAATTTATATTTCTTACGCAATCCAAACAAACATCGATAAACAAAAAAATCCACGGTAACTTGAACGCGGTACGTTCAAAACGCGAACCGATTGCATCCCCATAAAATCTAATCGCCCCAATTACACCTTCACGCGAACAGCCGTCCATTAAACTCCATTTACTTTCCGTATCGATACGAACTGCTAGTAAACCGAGCTCCCTCGTGTAAATACAAAGAGATAAAGACGAACACGGTCTTTTACGCAAATCCGAGGAACACGCGATGGCCGAGCGGACACGGGAATCTCGCGGCTATCGAGATGCATCCAGGAACCGCGAAGGAAAAGCAGCGGCGAAACGCGTTACAAAAGGTGTGTATTAGCTTGTGCGTGTGCAGGAAAGCCGACGGTAGACGTTCCTCGCGTATCCGCCACGCGTTTCGCGGGAGAAGAGAGATCGAAAGGAAAGATGGCCGCTCTCTCCGGCCAGGAGGCTCCTATCTGATGAGCGCACGCGTGCATTTCTTTGCGGGCTCTCATTGTGCACGGGGGACGAGGAGAATGCGACACACGCCCGGCTCCCGATGTAGGTTAAAGCCGTAATTAACGCCGTCTTAATTGCCGACAGTTTACACCGTGGTATTACCGATCTAACTGAGACAGGTCGCGACAGAGCAGCACGCGGCGCGAAGAGCGGGGACGTTGGCAGAGGACGGGCGCAAAGGGGGAGGATGGCCGTGGCGGCGGCGTTTCTCTCCGTTGCCACGGGAAAATCAAACGGCCGTGAAACGACACTTTAATTAGCGTGTTTACGAGCGAACTGGCCAGCCAGAGGGACACGACAATTTCTGGGATTAATCGTACCGACATGCCTCCCTCGAAAACGCGAAATGAAAAAAGGAGAAAGCTTCCTCGACACGGCCGGAGCTGAAGCAACTTCGAGCAAAGGGATTAATTACTGTTGCTTGTCGCAGAGTACAGGGAGGACTGTTGATTTTCTTCGATTATGTTGCTCGGTGAAGGACGAGATCCAACGGTTTGGAAACGGATTGAGCGAGAGTCGGGTCGAAGGGTGCCGAGTATAGAGCGAGTCGAAGTTTGAGGAATGAGTTAGACGGATCAGTAGATTGGAATGAATGAAATGGAGAGGATGAG